ACCATTATGTTTAGTGAAAGAAGTTAGACACAAAAATTATATTCTGTATGATTCCATTTACATATATTCAAGAACAGGCAAACTTGATTTATGGCCATAGGGAACACTTTTCTGTAATAATGACAGTAGATTTAACAGGGATTTCTTCTTTGGAATAGTACTTTTGGATGACAGTTTCTTTTTGTCCTGTTTCTGGCTGAATTGTGACATATTTCTGGCTAAAATGAAGCATATAGATTTGAAAAAAAGGCACTTGCTTCATAACTGAATCATTTCCTATTATATTTTAATTAATTACTAATGAAACTATTGATTAAAAAGTATTATTAAACCAAATTTTGGCATTTAAACTCTTAGGGATCCTGATTTAATAAGTCTGTGGGAGTCCTAAGAGCACAAGCAACTGCTGATCATTTGTTTGAGAACAATTCTAGACAGTTAACCCATTTGCGTATGTGATGGTGTCTGCTCTATGACCTACTGCATACCCACTGTTAGGATGGAGATTCAAAAAATAATCTATCTTGTTACTGGTTGATTGGTTCTAAAGCAAGGCCACACAGATTGGTACTCACCAATTATTATGGGCTGTGGCTCACTTTTGACTCCAACCCCCGCACTGGTACTAGCAGCAACCTCTACCCGGTATTGAACACCTGGGAACAATCCACCAATGATAACAGATCTAATGGCTGCATCCACAGTTTTGTTGATATGGAATCGTGTTTCATTCCCAAGACACCAAATCTACAGAAATGTAAAGTGAATAACAAAAGAATAGTAAATGATCTTTTCTGGTAATTTGATTATTATAATTGATTAATTTTTTTTTGGTAGTAATCAATCTATATTCTAGGCTTATAAAAATATTTGTAAATGACATTTTCTGAAGCCTAATTTCTGCATTTATTTATACAAATTCGATGTGTATGTGTATATATATATATATATATATGATATGTGTGGATGTGTGCGTGTGTATATGAAAGGAAGAACAATAATAGAGTCTATAACTATGCCAAGTTCCTGTATGTCTTACAATCAACACTGAATGGTCATAATACAGTGATTCCCTTAACACCTCTAGAAAATGGTCCTTGGTTGCAGACAGCATTTGGGTATGGATTAAAACACATAAATCCCCTTATTTATCAAGGTTTATTATGCATTAATCTATTAAAATATGGTGATTATGAGTTGTAATATCAAAGGTATATAGGTTCACATCTAAGTAATTTATATTTTATTGAGGAAAACATTAGCTTACACAGAAGTAGTTAATAAGATTAATTGACTCAAGTTATAAGTATTGACTGAGATGAAATTAAAGCCAATATTTACATTGACAGTAATAAATCTTGATATTGATCAAAACATATTTACACACACATACACATGAATGAGAAAAAAGTGGTGGAAATTCTTTAAACACTGATGTGAGGGAAACTAGGCTTTTACTTCCAGTAATCAAATTTTAAGACATACTTTCTTTAAAGGTATAGAAATGTGTTACAAAAAGAATTCTACTCTGTACACATTTTGTACTCATAAATGTGTTTATGTATTTCATAATCTACATGTAGACACATAAGTAGGATCACATCTAGCTTGTTTCTGAAACAGGCAAGTTCCTAAACTTTTTCTTGAAAATAATTTCTGTGTAGTTTTTTATTATTTGATTTACATTATGATACCTGTGATAATAATGAAGTAATATTAGCCCTCATAAAAACATATTCTTTGTTACCAAAATACGACAATCTCACATGAATGAAAAAGTTTACAATTTATGACAAAAATGGTAATGTTGTAAAAAATGTCAGAATTTATATAAGCAGTAGTTCAGGATATTTAGTCTCAGATGACACAGAAGTAGAATCTTAACCCCATTAAAACACACACACACATACATGCACACACACACACTCACACACACACACACACACCATAGTGGAAAATTCCATGCTCTTGAAACAATGTCTTAACACTTTTAAAATTTAGACTCTATATAATTATGCTACTGGAAAGCACTCATATTCCTTACGCATGTTTCTTTATATAATGTGACAGGAATAATTTAATAATAAATGCTTATACAAACTGTATTTGCTTCAGTAAGTTAATCATTAACTTAAGAAAATTCATTTTAAATTCATCATTTTTTCTTAGAGATAATATTCATTTGCAGTGTTTTGAGTGATATTATTCAGCGTAATTTCACATACAAAATATTTCATTTGGGGTGAGGTGGAGTGTCATTTTCTATTCTAATAGATATTCCTAGTATCCTACCACCAGAATTCTACAAATATTTATTCATAGCAAAAAATCATAATTTTGAACTTTACAATGGTTAAGGAGGTGTTTTACTCTCATGTGATCTAATCACATCAAAATTAATCAGATTCTAATTTCTCAAAGTTAGACATCTCTCTTAAATGTCAAATGATTACGAGGAAACAATGGATAGATACTGCTTCTATACAGCAACAAATGCACCAGTTGAAAAATGAGATAATAATATTTTGTGTTTTCAAAATTCACTCTTTCAATGGCTCCTTTTTCTCAAGTGAAATATTTTACAAAAACCTCAATAAACTGATAAAAGCAGAGCTTAAGAGGGGGAGCTAGTCTTGCCTTCCTTCCCATTCTCTCCACCACTCTGTAAACCCCTGAAGCATCTTTTTATGAGAACACAGTTTAAAAATGGCCACCTAGGGCCCATTATAGAAATCTAATAATGAAGATAAAGGCAGTTTCTGTGATGTGGGCTTTAGTACCTTCCCTGACCCAATCTGTCTGACTCCCTGAGGTTCTGGAACAAAAAATCATTCTAGTGTTATTGTTTCCTTGACCAACTCAGTTTGTGGTACCTGTGACCTTGGAGTTAGGTTTTGATATCCTAAGCGTTTGTGTCTTTACCTGTCAGACAAAGATATAAAAAATAACTTTACACTCACACACAGAAAGAGGGTCACTAGAGATGCATCTCATTTATGTGACGTTGAGACTTCTTTGGGAACCTTTTTCCATGAGCCTCCTGCTTCACCCAGGCCCTACCTTGTATTCTTGGATAACTCCATTCTGATGATCCAGAGGAGGAGGATCCCAGGAGACACTTATGCTGGTGCTGTTGTGGCTTCCAACTGTCAGCACAGTGACAGACTGTGGTGGAGCACTTGGGGCTGTAGAGGGAGTAATTGGAATAAACATAGACTGTAAGTCTTGGTGCACATGAATGCTGCTTACCAAATATGAGTATAAAGGCAAGATGCATGAAGTTCTGGTTTCCAGTAGTTCTGAATTTGTAATATCATGTTTAATAGAGACAGTTTTTAAAAAGTTCTTTATATATAACAGATAGATTTAAAGCAAATACAACAGCTGTGCTGATAATGTACTCAATAATAAATTTGAAAGTTTATTCTAATTTCTAATTAGTGTTTTCTAATAGTTCTACCATTCTAATGAGTGTTTTCTCTATGCCCAGCACTGAGCTGAGTGTCAGATGTAATTCTCACAATAACCTCGGGCAGTAAAAACAAAGATTATTTCAGTTTTACAGATAAAGAAAGAAAAGTCTACTGCCAGAGACTTATCTAAGTCAGACAACAAGGTAGAATTTGAACCCAAGTATGTCTGATTCTAGAATTCTGATACTGTTGACTTCAATAGGCTCTCTCTCTGAAAAAAGCACAGCTATCAAAAATACTCCAAGAGGATGTATTCCAAAATGTTATCAGTCATTATGTCTAACTGTTGGCAATTATCGACAATCTTTTTGTTTTATTTTTGTTTAATAAACAAAAACAGAAGCACAGTTATAAATTTTGCCAGCACAGGAAAAAAATGCCATCTGTTTTCATATTGGGGAAAAAAATTGACTGTTTTGTATTTACCCATAATTTAAGGTTTAAACTTATTTCATATTGATGGGCAAGGAACTCTGTAGATATGAATAAAAACAGCTCATGTTGGGTCTAATGTGAAGTGATCATATTTTAATTTCCTACAATTCTCTCCCTTTATGTTTTTTCCTATAACTTATTATAACCATACTGAGAAAAGATGAGTGAGAAAAATATTCTGATTTTAGATTGCAGCATCTCTCACGCAGTACATCCAAGAGCTAAAAGATACTAATTTTGCAGGGAATCTTAATCAATTCTGTGAATTTCTGAGTTTAGACCAAAAGTAAGAAAAGCAAAATCAAAGTGCTCACAGGTATTAAGGGATTTTATATAAAAGGATCAATGCTTTTATAATTACACAGTTTAGTTATTTGAAAAAAAAAAGTACAAGTGAATCGTGAAAGATATTTTTAAAGCCTGCCAATCGGGTCTCCCATGTTTGGTGAATTTTCATGACTTACTTCACTGAGGTAGGGCCAATTTTCATTAAGATACAAGACACACACAGACATCTTACCCCAATACTGCTTTCTATCATTCCTCAGTGTGATAATATTGTTCCAAAATGTGGCACGATAACATAAATCCAACCACTTGTCTACCAGTTTTGGTTATTAAGTAGACTGCATTGAAAAATAACACTTTGGGAAACTGGTTTCTCCTTGGCCTTGTTGCCGGCTTGGAGAGAACCCCATGCCTGCTGCCCAGCAGCTCAGTTACTCCAGGGCTCAGCTTGCACCGCGGTGAAAGAACCGGAATCACCGCTCATCGCTCCCAGACACAACCCCGCAGAGTCCCATTTGTCATCTTCAGAGATGAATGTATACTGAGCGGTGACCAACGTCTAATTTAGAGGAGAAGTCTAACTGAAGTGAAGTTGGTTTTTGGAAGTGTGCTTCAAATAGCATGCTGAATAAGTTTGCCCACCCCCCTCATTAGTAATACAAATTTTCAGCGTAAAAGTAAAACTGAATGGTGGATAAAGATACTGTTACTGTTTTTAGTATTTTTTCATTACACAACCTGAAAGTAGATTAATGATGCCTTTAGAAATACGCATTTCTAACCATGTCAGTATATCACACTATAAAGTAATGTAAAGTTAATATTTTTGCTGTGCTGCTTATTATATTTATAACTTAAAACCCCTTTGGTCAAACATGAGCATCTCCATATTAGCATGAGCAACATATATATAAAATATATTCTTAAGGCTGATATTTCCCAATTATGTGAAATATACTTAGAAAAAAAGGCTTTTTACTGGAGCTATGTAAATAAAATTAGGAGAAAAGCAAAAACGGGGGGGGGGATTTATTATACTCGACATTTGACTTTTTGTACTTTGATGATACCATTTATTATAAGCCTTTAGTTTAGTGACCAAGACACAATAAATGGACTGGTTGAGACTTACAATAATTACATGTCCATCAAAGATTGACTTTAAAGTATCTGTAGGCAAGAAAACTTCCAAGTAGCAGGGGAGGAGGGAATGTCACTAAGAAGAAAGCTGTTGAAAACATGCAAGTAGGCTTCTGAATTAGAAATTTTGAGTCAGACTAGCAGGGCCCACAGGGAAGGAGGATTATAAAAGAAACATCATGCTTTACCACACCAAAAATGAGGAGTGACAATGAACAGCCTGTGTTATTGAGTTTCCAGGAGCGGTCCATTAATTAAGCCAAATGAGCTATTTCCATAACAAATGTTGACTTAAGAGAAATTGGACTTACAAGAATGTCATTTTTTTAAATTGTCAGATTCTAGGGAATTCTTAGAATTAAAGGAAAAATATGACACTTCCTGGATTTACTTTTAGAGTCTCTCTTGCCACTTTTCTGAAAAAAGATGATAAATTAGGAACTTCATCAAAATTTGGTTTCATTACAGTTAAAGTTTGGTTCATGTTAGAAATCTGAATACTGACCTTCTTCAGTAGTACGAACTGTTCTAGATTCACTATCCATTCCCTGGAACTCATTAAAATAAGGTCGGACTTTAATTTCGTAAGTCACCCCCTTTTTCAGATTGACTAAAACAGCACTTCGCTCAGTTGGGACTTTGGCATCTAAATTCTGCCATGTTGAGGCAACCTGCAGTCCTGAAGTCTGACGATACATCACTCGGTAGCCTTGAATAAATTGGGGCTGGCGATCAACCTGGAAAACAGCAAAAAGCTTTTGAAACCAAAATGGAAGTATGTTAGACTTCACAGAGGACCCATCCTCATTTCTCTGGCCTCTATTTCAGTCTTCATCAACTGTCATGTGAGTAATGCCATGGCATTCTAATCCACCTCATCGATTCTAATATCCTCTTCCAATTCTGAGTTCACATTGCACTTAAGTTAGTATTTCCAAAATGAAGAGTGAACAACTCTTTAAAGTATGTTTAAAATACTTTATAGTATCTAAGATATTACTTAAATCATTTCAAATTCCTTGATATGCACAAAGGCCTGTCAAGGTGAAGACTTGCTAATTTTTCTAACTTTATTTCTCATAGGTTTGTCCTTTTCCTGTATTTAACAGTTCCAGTTTGTATGGTTTGATATGTAATGTGCATATGTCACAGGAATTTCCATTCTAATTCATTGTCTATTTATTAATACCTTCACTCACTCAAAACATGTTTTTGAGATCCTACTAATAGGTACCAGAAATTCTGCTAAACTTGTGGGATAAAGTTGGAGAATTAAAGCAGAGAGTCAGCCCAGGCCTGCCCTTGTTTTGTTTCAAATTCAGGTGGAAGGTGGACATTATCTATTAATCACCCAAACAATGATCAAGTTCTATTCATAACAAATAAACAAAAACAGATGTTATGAATTAAATGTACAAGGAACAAAGAAAGCTGGGGTGTAGAGGAAATGGATTCAATTAGGTTTGGGAGATGAAGTTTCTCTGAAGATGAACAAGTACTGAAATCTGCAAGGACAGTAGGATTTATCCAGAGGAAAAGCAGGAACAGCATGTATAAAATTCCTATGGCAGGAAGCAGCCTATGAGAGATATCAAAAGTTGAGCTAGTAACTACTTTAAATGCAGACGAAAATCTTATGCACATTAACACATATTAAATGAAAGATGTTTATTAATTTTACAACTTCTGGCCCCCTTCAATTGTCCCACTATGGGCACAATTTGACAACTTTCTTGATCTTTTCATTTATTTAAAATACAAAAGATAAGTAGTTGTTTTTAACAAAAATATGAGATTTTGAAACTGAAACCCATATGAAATTGATATGAAAAAGTGTTTACATATAACAATTTACATGAAAATTGAATACAGAGAAATGTAAGCTAAAAAAATGAAACATGTTCCTTTATACATTTACTAAAAAATTTTTATTGGAGATTTTCCATTGTTTCATTTTCAGGGAGAAGAGCACTTTTAGCTTTTTTGCACATTTTTAATATTTTGCCATCTTTCTAGACATGCTTGATTTAAATATAGCTATAAATTAATATTCAATATATTATATTTTAATAGCCATATTCTAAGAAGCCTTTAACTTAACATATTTCACTGTCAAATAAAGTGTAAGATTTAATGGAGAAGAGATGGAAGAACCTCACTTCAGGACAGTTGCAGAGAAAGAGAGTAATAAAGTGATGATAGAAATGGTATTTCAGCTGTTTAAAAATTGCTTTATCCAACTGTTAACACATTATAAGCAAAAGGTATTCTATTGTATATTAACTTATAACATTTCTCCTTTAGTTGCAGCATTTTTAATTGTTTTTAAGTGAAAGCAGAATATTTAAAAATAAAGAACTGCAATAAAAATACAGTGGAACAAAGGGACATTTTTCTATATTTCGAATGTCCAAACTGGAAAAATCCATGAAGTTGGTGAGCATGAACATATGTGTTCCTATGTGTAACTCTATAATATAATATATAGCTATGAAATCCAGTTTCACAGATGAGTCTCAACAAGTAAGAATTTCTTCACCCACCTGACAGCTTTCTAACCCTGAAAAAATTTCTGGAATTAGTGATACAGTTATATGAGGTTATGCCAAGAAAAAGTTAGCCCAGCTCAGACACCAAAGCTCATGATCTTAGAATCTTCACTCACAGCACCAGCTTGTGCTTGTACCAACAAACGTATATTTGAAAAGAAGTGTCTCTGACATTACAAAACAAGGCTAATAAAAAACAAGAAGTTAAATTTATGAGAGCCAAAGAGAGATGCTTTTCATCAAAACTGTCATTTTTCAAAAATTCCTTGCAGCATGTGTTAAAACAATATTAAGCTTGCATTTTATAAACTTCTCTGCATTCACTTTAAGTGAATTTATATACTGAAGGAAAGACATAACTCACAATAATAGCTTGTTAATACTGAAAGAAGCAAGCTGTGTTTTAAGGAAGAACATTAAGCAGCTGTTTCTAGATGAAGGGAGTCTGTAAATCAGGGTAAATTGGTTTTATCCATGTTTGGTTTTCATTAATTAAGTGTTTTAGGGACTTCATGAAGCTAATGTTTACTACACAGCATGGCCTTGCTCACTTCAGTGTACCCTACCTCCTTCCCCAGCATATTCTAATGGCCTACTTAGGAACTAAATAGTTGAACTTCATTTTGTGCAGTTGCAATACTGCAATTTGTTGTTGCAGGTGGAAGCTAAAATAAAAATGCTGACCATCACCTTTAAAAAAAAAGGTGGAATTTTTATTAGATATGTATTCTACACCACGGACTTTTGGAGCACATTTTTGACAGGGGGTCATTTTCAAGTTAAACCATCTGCTTGTCACGAGTTTTATTAACATTCTGGTTATAAGAAGGAGGATTTTCTTTTTCAGTTGATTATAATTAGAATCTGGCTGCAAATCCATGGGTTTATAGAATTCTTAAAATTGCTATTTTTCTGAAACATGAATAAAAAGAGTTGCCTTAAGGAAAAAAATGAAATGCTGAAGAGAGCTTTAGTCTTCCAGTCATAAGGTCTCATTTGAGTTACAGTTCAGCCTCTTAAACTTTTTGAGCCTCAGTTTACTTAATTTGCTCAAGTAACACCCATATTACAACAGTGCAGAAACAATTAAATGACTTATGTTAACTAAGCACTTTCTGAATTTTAGAGATGCAAGATGATAAGGCATCATTAAGTAAGGGACATCCTATAAAAAGGGCAACCATATGTGGTCTTTAATTCAGCACTTTTATTAAGATATTTAAGTGAGATGCTTAATACCTGTCTTTTCAATCAAAGAGAAGTTTCATTTAAACTGAAAATTCAAGTGAGTTTTCTTTGGAGGGCTCAGCCTGCTAAGTGACTGATCTGGATTCAGCTGAGTTCTAAAGTTCTAGTTTGTCAATTCACTTTTTCAATGCCAGTGGCTGTGACATTTAAGGGAAGAAAGGGTCTGGGATTTTTTTTGTGCTTTAACAAAACAAAAAGTATACACAAAAAAAACTACAATTATCATTTTAAAATAGATTTATTTCATTTGTTTATCATTTTTGCCTATGCTCATTAAAAGAGCACTCATTTTTAGAAAGTAGCCTTTGCTTACTATTAATTCTTCAAGATTAACCTTGGGACAGGTGGGTGGTTTTTCCAGTACAAATGTCCTATGTGTTTGGTAATTGAATCCTGCCATCTTTTGGTAAAACACCTTCGCTGGCCCCAAACCTAAAGACATGGGCTGGGGAGAATATTTCTCTTCTAAACCCCAACAAATCTGCAACTCAAATATGAACAATGTGATAATTTAAAAAACATATATATTTCTCAAGTTGATGAAGGGAGTCTGTAAATCAGGGTAAATTGGTTTTATCCATGTTTGGTTTTCATTAATTAAGTGTTTTAGGGACTTCATGAAGCTAATGTTTACTACACAGCATGGCCTTGCTCACTTCAGTGTACCCTACCTCCTTCCCCAGCATATTCTAATGGCCTACTATGACACGGAAATAAGATTCTTGGTTATGATTTTGACCCCACCTCCAGTCTGACTTTATTTCACTAAATTTACCTCTCAAGTACATGCTTATTTCATGTGTAACTACTAATTCATAGGAAACAATACCCCATGATATAATTGAACACTTTCTTCTTAAAATAAGAATAAAAATGTTATGATTGAGTTGATCATTTAATGATCAGTTATTGAAAGGGCATTTCATAACAGCTGCTCTGCTCTGAAAAAACAAAAATGAAATACAGAGGACCCACAAAAGTCAAGTTCAGAAGCAAGAGTGATATGCAAATTAGTAATGACAAGCTTCTTGGGATACAGAGATGAATATGACAGGGCCCCTCTCCTGGAAGAACTCCCAGACTACTGACTTGCAATTTTGATCTAATTTGATTTATTCTTTTAAACTCAGTGACTTTTCAAGTGATTAACTTCACAAACATAATGACTTTGATTCTTGCCCAAATAATTCCCACATTTAGAAACTTCCCACAAAGTAATTCCCTTTAAAACTCCCAACAGAGCAGACTTTTTCAATTGAGAATGAGGAAAAAATCTATCATTAAAAGTGCAACTATTTCCTTGGCTTTGTTAGCTTTGCATCTAGTAGGAGTTACATAAGGATAGGAGAGGCACGGCAGATAATACCCCTACTGTGTGACTCGAAAAATGCTGAGGTCATTATGTTTCCTTCATGGGGACAGAAGAATAGAAACCATTATATGCAGAGAACAGGATGAGTCTATGTGAAATTACATTAAAAATGGAATTAGAAACAATGTAATCCTAAATAATACTCTTAAAATATTATAAACTTAGTCTTATTTTTTATTAAAGTATTACCCAATTTTGTACTCATAGACCAAAAATTTGACTGACCAGTTTAAGAAGTAACAAAATACCCTGTCCAGGATGATACGTTAAAATTCCACCATTCCTTCTGAATAAATATTTGTTACAGTGTATCTTTAAAGTGAAAAACACAAAAAGCAGATTTAAAATAAGAGAGTTCTAATTCTATCTGTACCTATGAATAGACATGGGATATTTTGACTTAGAGTCATTCTCCTATTGCAATAACAACCTAAATTCAGAAGACAGAACACATCAAGTTTATATTGCAATCAATCTATTTTTAATCGATTTACTCTTTTATGTGTAGAATATTTTTCTTTGTTGCTGTTGATTATACCTTGATTTTAAATGGTGAGAACTTTTATTAGTATTGTTTGGTTTATTTACTTTTTCCTTTTTTGGTTTGTTTTCTTAAAGGAATAAAGAAGACAACCATTAACATAGCCTGTGTAAACTTACCGTCCATGTGACTTGAACAGTGGTGGGAGTCAGAACAACTGGAATATGAAGACGAACAATGACATCTCCTAGTTCTTTCTGTACTTGTCTGTGGTCCACTCCTTGGGCTGGTGGGCTGATATCTAGGGGTAGATAACCATTCCCTAATTTTGAACATGGTAAAATTCCCATGCATATTATTTAAGCCAATATTTTGGCATTAGAAATAATTACAAGGGAAAAGATAAAAACTCTGTGTGACAAAAAAATCATTAGAGCATATTTATATACATACTACTGTGTTAGAACATAATTTGAGAGATGAGATTTATATCACTGAAATTATATTAATAAAAGAGTGTTTGACGTTTCTTATCCCTATTCCAACAGATTGTTGAGGAAGATCTATTATTTACTTATTAAATAAAAAAGTATAGGCTGCCAAACTTTCCCTAGAAACATAAGTTTTATCTAATGTTGGCCTATGGAGGGACTTTCCCAAGTAGTTAATGATTCCATATCTGAAAACTGCTGTTTAGGAATTTGCTTAATCCCTTGTCCCAATTAGTGGATTGTGTGTCTTTACGCCTTGACCTATTTTGGTCTGGGAGCATGGAAGGGAAAGCAGGCGGCGAGGCCTGGGGAAGTGAATTATGTTGCTAAAAGTAAACAAACTAAGGGAAAGAAGGGACAAAGCTCCTCAAAATTTACAAAGATATTTGTGACTGAAAAACTTACAATACTGAAGAAATGTTCTAAAGTAATAACTTTTGAGCAATATTCCAGTGATATGACAAAAGGTAATGCCCTTGCTTTTTTGGAAGTGATAGGTGGAGAGGTGAGGGAGAATCAAGGTATTTGTATTGGTACGTGCTCAGCCACATCGCTGTGCCCCCTTACTTGCCATTCTCCTATATACTACTGTCTTGTCACACACAATGGCTTATAATCTATGTGACCAGAAAGTAAAACAAATACATTATAGACATCCAAGCGCATCAAATTGATATCAAATGTAACACATACTCAAATCAACATCTTTAACTGGTACACTGCAAGGGTAAATTGAATTTTTTTCTTCCAACTACCTAATTTAAGGAAGGAAGTCCAATTTAAAATGATTTATTTTCTTAATCTTGTTTGCTCCTATTTTCTCAGGCCACAACGCAATACTCTTGCAAAAATATTTTTAACTGGGTATCTCAGCCAAAACTTAAATTGGGTACACTAACATAAATTGGGACATAAATAATTGGGAACTACACGTTGGTGATTTCTTTTTCCAGTTTGACTTTTTTTCATCCTTAACATAAACAGCAAAGCAAATTTTACTTGATTTAGAAAATAAAAAAATTATTATGTGAATAATATTACTCTTTGCTGATGTACCTCTGTGGTCTGTCTATTGGGATGTTGACACTACTAGTATTTGCTGCCTGACTAAAGTAAAAGATTTCTAAATTCTATATTTAATATCTTTGAAAAATAAGAGCTCCCACAGGAAGATGTTTTTTGAAAAGAAATGCTTTGCTGCTGAAAGTGTGGTCAAAAATGATTCTGACATTCAGACACAAAACATGAATTTTCCTATTAAATATCTGTTAAGAGAACATAAGTCTTTTGCTCTATATAGTCTCTCAACTGGAACAGGCCAGATCACAAACAACTTTTCATTAATCTTTTTTAACCTTTTCACTGAGAAGTTATTTTTTGAGTCAAGATTTAGTGACTGGCTCAGTTATTGAAATGATCAAGAAGGTCTGCCAGATTTAATCACACCAGCCGTCTTCCCCATTTGATTATCTCCCCACCCTCCATTCAGCTACACACAAAAACTATTTCTATCTATACAGGTAAAAATGACCTAGGTACTATAATTTTTTGGCTAAAAACCATACACCTCTTCTTTTTCCAGCTCAATAGTTTAATTTACTCATTAAATTCAGACACACTAAAAACAACTGGATCCAAGCAGGGTAAAATATAACCACTTTGAGATCTTCAAATTCCTTGTACTTTTTGTTTCTCTTGAGACAAGTTCTTTACCTACAGGCCCTTTATCATTATGGAGAATTAATCACAGTACTGCTTAGAGAACAATGGAACAGCGGCATTCTCTCCTCCCTTGACTGTCATCATGTCAGCAACAGTGCAAAGTCACGTGGTAACTTTATTTCATTTGATTCTTTTAAGGCACCCTTCTCTGTTATAATAGCATGCTAGTTACTATCACTGAACTACATTGTAATTATAATAATATTTTTGTGGCTGCATGGTGCTTTTCATAGCATGAAAATACACTTTGAATTATATCTCCTTCAAAGCCTCTTACAAACAAGAAATAATTAACCCTTTCTGAAAACCCTGTGGGAAATCCGTTGTAACAAATAATTAAGTCACCACTTCCATTTTATTGATTCCCTCATCTGCTAGTAAGAAGGACAATTGTAATGCTGGAGAGATAGGCCACTAAAAATGAGATGACGGATCTTCCATTTTTATCTTATAATATTCTGGGTGGGTTTTTTTTTGTTAGCCTAAAGAATTGGATACTTCAAAAAGAAAACAATTTACTGCTTTCTGAAACCAACTGGTCCTTTGACATCTGGCTTCAGAAAATTCACTGGAGGGCCCCTTAATACAGACTGCTGGCCCCATCTCAGAGTGTCCGAGTTGAGGCCTGAGAATCTGCATTTCTATCATGATCACAAGGTGATACAGAAGCTGCTTCTGTAGGAATTACACTTGGACACCCCCTGCACTTTAGAAAGAGAGTTCCTGAAAACAGGATGTAACATTAATATCCCAATTGGGGCATCTTATTCTTCATCTTATTAAAGACAACTTTTTGCTACTCTATTATTTATTTAAAAGAAGGAGAAATATTTCTCCTCCTTTTGAAATATAGCAAAGCCCTAACTTGGTTAATTTTCTCTTCTTATATGAATATACTCAATTATCTTGTTTACTTTTCACTAAACTGACCCTGACAGCTGCAGGAAGAAGACACACTCACCAAGGTGAACACCAAGTTTCCTGCTCTTTCACTGGACCAGGTCTAGTGAATTTTATAACAAGAAATGCAGACACATTTATCATTGCTCATATAATCCCTTTGTTCTTAAGGATCTGTTTAAAATGTCCTTCTAGAGCCAGTCATATTTACAACCACTGAAATTACCTTGTGTGCGCACAGGATCTGACACAGGGCTTGGGTCACTGAGACCTTGGGGGTTGATAGCTCTGACAGTGAATAAATAGATTGTATTGGGCCGCAGTCCTCTCACTGTATAGAGGGTGGTCTTTACGTGGTTTGCCACTGTCTGCCAGCTATTGCTCACCGATTGGCTGAAACATGAACAGAACTTCCATTTAAAGAACAGTCATAAAGGTATTGGAAACGGAGTTGGGTATCAATGACAAAGGTTAATGGCTGAAAATTAAACACACACACACACACACAACACTTGAAGTGTTCAGCCCAATAAATGAAACATTTGGATGATTTCAGTTTATTCAACAACAAAGCCGAGCCCACCTAACGAAGTGCCATGCACAACAAAATTAAACTCAGCCCAGAAGATGTGACAGCCCTTTGCTAATGCACAGCAGCCCACTAAATGAATACCTGTAGAAAGAACAGAGGCCAAGATCACAACATCAAGTTTATACAATAAATATGGTCCTCGTAAATGTATATATATATATACCTTGAAAAGAATTAACCTGTAGAAAGAATAAATGGGCTACAGAGTAAATTATGCCAATACATTTTCCTGTTACAAGTTGTGTTTTCTTTTGCATCAATTCCACATGCAATATTATAATAGAGCCTTCTAAAACTACATATCTGTAAAAGAAGAAAGGAAGCATGTAATGAATATTTTCCCTTGGTCACATTTTTAATAAAATTGCACATTACACAGTATTGTGATTTCTCATCTTGGAATGGTGAAATATCTCTGAATCTGTAGGTGTGGACCCCTTTGCAGTCAACTACAGATGGGATGCTTGCTTAGAGTACTTTGTCTAAGGTGAAGTGCTTCTCTTGTTCAGAATGAAAGAAACTGTGATCTTCAGTACTGTGCATTCATTTTTAGTTCTTATTCATCAAAACATGAAAATTACACAAAAACAGTATTTTGAAATTTGAAAATCATATACTATTATCTGAAATAAATTAGGAAAGCCTAAAATGAAAGTAATGATTCATCCTAATGCTTAAAAAGGACAGTGGTCATCACTATCTTTATAATGACAAATAGAAGCACATTGAAAATGAATATGAAGCTACATTTTCCCATTCATGTATTTTATAAAAATCTCATCAGACAATTTCATAATGACATTTGCTAATTTATAGTCCATGTTCTTATATTGATGTCCTTTATTTCACTTAACGATTGTGCATATCTTTTCCTTTCTGTAGCCAGAAGTGCATGGAATCAATTTCTTAATTGTACTTTTAATTTTCTCTTATGCATAGCCTATAGAAGTATTCAAATATGTAGCCCAGAAATATTGGAATTCTTCTAAGTTCTGTCCTAATTATTAGGAAGCAAATTTCCAGGTTTCTGTGCCTTAGTAAATGCTGCATAACTTAAAAAGTGCTTGTGCCTAATTAAGTTATTTTCTGCCTAGTTCTAATGCCAAAATGTTCATCTTAAATCCTTACAAGGTCATATTAAAAAAGGAGCTAAGTGATGATGTCATAAACTAGATCCCCATAGACTTAGGCATAGATAATGCATATTTAATCTTAGAATTAAGGTATAAATGGGAAAAAATAAACTAGAATCTATTCTTCAATAAAATTAGATACAGAAGATAACTTCTTAGAGTGCTCTGACTAAATATATCCTGAAAATAAAACAGCAGGGTAGCTCACGTGAGCTTTTAGGTTGTAGGAGCTAAAGCAAAAACCCAACAGAGAAAAAAACAAACTGGTCCATACCTGAAAGCCTCAATGATATATGCACTTGTTGGAAGGGTTCCAGGGGTACCTGGTTGCCAGGACAAGGTAACACTGTTCTTAGTCACATCAGTGACCTGAGGTTTGGATGGTGGCCCTGGCAGATCATTTAAATCATAATTTTTACTGATTGTTGCTCCAGATTCTATAGAGGACAAACAGAAAAAGCTTCATTCCTGATTGCATCAACTAACAACAATGCTTAAAAGAAGGAAAATAATCTACTGAGGAAGTTAACCTATACAATGAACAATTTATCCTCATGAATCAAAAGTCCACAAGTAAATATTTGCTTCTTTTTACATGGTAGTAAATATTTACTTTCACACAGGATCATTGGAATTGCTTGCTCTTTAGATAGAAAAAGCAAAATAAGGTTATCAAGGACAAATGTATTAAACTGCATATTTGCAATGCTATGTGCCAAGTGGTTCAGGAATTAAAAAGTGGCATAAGCTGTATATTCAATGACTCTAAAACTTTGATCCTTTCTTCACTTGTTATTTGTTGATGAGTTAAATCACTAAAATGGGCTCAAGATTTCTTCTGTTAATAAAATTCACAAAGAACTCACCTGTCACCTCCAGTACAGCACTCCAGGATGTTTCCCCACTTGAACTTGTAGCCACACAGGTGTAAGTGCCAGTATCAGAAATCTGTGCATGAGGAAGGGAGAAAATTCAATTGTTGCATTTTATTTGTAGAATAATTAATCTCAACAAAGCAATATTTAACTTCTTAAAATGCGATGTATCTTCTGGCTGTCCAAATTATACATTAGAGTCAATCATATGTGCACGTTAAATATTAAACTCAGGTAATGCTTTTTTATTTGTAATAGTGATTCAAAGATTTCTACATTGTATTTCTACAATGAAATGGTATTTGTCTGGTAAACTCTACTTGTCTTTCTTGCCTTTACAGTAATACTCTTACCTTTTAACTCCTGTTTACGTTGGGGCTTCACTGTGTCAGAGCTAGATATGGACAGAATTTTTCAGAATCCTACAAATACTCAAATCAGTAATGCAAAGCTGTCCACTCCATCTCCAATAAAACTATATTTGAATGGATAAAATGTACCCAGGAGTAAATAGCACTCTTCCTTTTTAGTGCTAAGCAGGTTAGTTCGCTAACAAGAGGGCTGACCCTTTTTTTTAAAAGACGGAAGAAAGTGAAGAAGGGAATTAAAAACAACAAAAACCTAAAACTTTCCCCTAAAGAGATCAATGCTAATATTTAAATTGTATCCATGTAATGGAGAATGAAATACAGTTGTGTTGTCACAAGACAAACAAAGCATGCCCAAGGAATCCCTGCAATTTAGAGCTGAAAGGGACCACAGAAAAAAACCTAATACCAGACTTTTTTTAACACATACTTAAAAACTGCCATTTCATTGATCACTTAAAATGTTTTTATTTATAATAAATGAAAATTTATTTTATTTTGAAGAGTGCCAAAAGATTTTTAGAAATAGTTGATCATATAATCAAGAGTTTCCTTCCACAAATGTAAAGAGCATAAGATTCTGTGATTATACTTTGATAAAAGCTCCAAATCAATAAAGATGCAAGTCAAAAATTCTCCCTGAGGCTGAGCCCTGTGTGTGAAAATTACAATGTTTATTCATTCACCTTATTTTAGGGATGAAGAAAAAGGGAGACAGAGAAGAGAAACGGATGACCAAACTGACTAAGGCAAGTCAGGTGACGTAGCACTGAAATTCTGTGATGAACACAAGTCTGATTGTTGAGGAGATATGGGTTCATAGAATATAGTATCTGCTGGGTTCAAAATGTAAGTGTATTGATGACTCAACCTTCCACAATCGATTCTCAGGTAAATCATCAGTACACAGAAGTTACTGCTGTTGCACCATTTTAACTGATTGTAAATGTCATTATGTATTTTAACTTAAGTTTCAAACTGCTGTGGCACATCGTTCTTTGCCATAGTCTCCATACAATCACCTTCTATTACACAGAGGGATGATGGGGGATAGCCATTGTAGAAAGAGACATTCTTTCAAATGTGCCTGTGCAGCATTACAGTCATTAAAAATCTTTGCATTTAAGAAGCATCACTCACAAACTAAATATAATGAGCCGAGGTTGGATTTTAATGGGATGTTCATTTGAATATGGTCTGTGAAAGAGCAAAGAATTTGCATTTTATTATAGCTGTTGAACTAAAATGTAGCACTTGTTATTATGTGCAAATGCTAGAAGAAGAGTACGTAGGTAATGCTTCTTAACTGCAACTCCATGTCATTGTGTGGAGATACAAGTCTGACATTAGCTGTGGTAGGTATGTTTTAATGAGTATTGGAATATTCTACATCTCAAAAGATACAGATTCAGCTACCAATTAGCTGGACTATGAGAACACAGTTGTTCATCATGCTTTATTCCCCCTCCTTGTGTTAAGTCCTGAAAAAGAAATTGTAAGACAGAAAGGGATACGACCTATTACGGAAACCCCCTCTTGAGTGTACAAGTGAAGTACTATTTAACACATTTTTACCTCCCTTTACAGACAGTCATTTTACAGAGAAGGAACATTTTCATTTTGGAGTTTATCAAAGCAACATCAAAAGCCCAAATATCATTGCTAAAATACACTCTTACATCACCATCATCATCACTGCTTCATTTTTACTTCTTTAAATAATGTCTTTCTGGTCATGAGTGCTTCACAGTTCTTCCATCTTTCTTTCATCCTTAACCGAAGTGATTTAAAGAGAGATTAATGTCCTGACACACTTCATTGCCTACTTTTCTCCTTGTATAGTTTGCTGCAGTCAGGCCTCCCAGCAGTTTACATCTCAGAGAGTCTGGTCAGAAGCCTCTCCAAGGCCTCAAAGTTTGTTGAGCATCAAGCACACATCTTTAATTGCTTCTCTCAGTACTAGCAGGGATCTTAACTATTCAAGCACACCTTTTAACTCAGCAGTACAGTAAAAATGCATTAACCCCCATGGCCCAAATCTGTCTTTAGCCCAAAGACAGCCTAAAGTATTTACTCAAGAAAACGTTGGGGCTTCACTGTGTCAGAGCTAGATATGGACAGAATTTTTCAGAATCCTACAAATACTCAAATCAGTAATGCAAAGCTGTCCACTCCATCTCCAATAAAACTATATTTGAATGGATAAAATGTACCCAGGAGTAAATAGCACTCTTCCTTTTTAGTGCTAAGCAGGTTAGTTCGCTAACAAGAGGGCTGACCCTTTTTTTTAAGAGACGGAAGAAAGTGAAGAAGGGAATTAAAAACAACAAAAACCTAAAACTTTCCCCTAAAGAGATCAATGCTAATATTTAAATTGTATCCATGTAATGGAGAATGAAATACAGTTGTGTTGTCACAAGACAAACAAAGCATGCCCAAGGAATCCCTGCAATTTAGAGCTGAAAGGGACCACAGAAAAAAACCTAATACCAGACTTTTTTTAACACATACTTAAAAACTGCCATTTCATTGATCACTTAAAATGTTTTTATTTATAATAAATGAAAATTTATTTTATTTTGAAGAGTGCCAAAAGATTTTTAGAAATAGTTGATCATATAATCAAGAGTTTCCTTCCACAAATGTAAAGAGCATAAGATTCTGTGATTATACTTTGATAAAAGCTCCAAATCAATAAAGATGCAAGTCAAAAATTCTCCCTGAGGCTGAGCCCTGTGTGTGAAAATTACAATGTTTATTCATTCACCTTATTTTAGGGATGAAGAAAAAGGGAGACAGAGAAGAGAAACGGATGACCAAACTGACTAAGGCAAGTCAGGTGACGTAGCACTGAAATTCTGTGATGAACACAAGTCTGATTGTTGAGGAGATATGGGTTCATAGAATATAGTATCTGCTGGGTTCAAAATGTAAGTGTATTGATGACTCAACCTTCCACAATCGATTCTCAGGTAAATCATCAGTACACAGAAGTTACTGCTGTTGCACCATTTTAACTGATTGTAAATGTCATTATGTATTTTAACTTAAGTTTCAAACTGCTGTGGCACATCGTTCTTTGCCATAGTCTCCATACAATCACCTTCTATTACACAGAGGGATGATGGGGGATAGCCATTGTAGAAAGAGACATTCTTTCAAATGTGCCTGTGCAGCATTACAGTCATTAAAAATCTTTGCATTTAAGAAGCATCACTCACAAACTAAATATAATGAGCCGAGGTTGGATTTTAATGGGATGTTCATTTGAATATGGTCTGTGAAAGAGCAAAGAATTTGCATTTTATTATAGCTGTTGAACTAAAATGTAGCACTTGTTATTATGTGCAAATGCTAGAAGAAGAGTACGTAGGTAATGCTTCTTAACTGCAACTCCATGTCATTGTGTGGAGATACAAGTCTGACATTAGCTGTGGTAGGTATGTTTTAATGAGTATTGGAATATTCTACATCTCAAAAGATACAGATTCAGCTACCAATTAGCTGGACTATGAGAACACAGTTGTTCATCATGCTTTATTCCCCCTCCTTGTGTTAAGTCCTGAAAAAGAAATTGTAAGACAGAAAGGGATACGACCTATTACGGAAACCCCCTCTTGAGTGTACAAGTGAAGTACTATTTAACACATTTTTACCTCCCTTTACAGACAGTCATTTTACAGAGAAGGAACATTTTCATTTTGGAGTTTATCAAAGCAACATCAAAAGCCCAAATATCATTGCTAAAATACACTCTTACATCACCATCATCATCACTGCTTCATTTTTACTTCTTTAAATAATGTCTTTCTGGTCATGAGTGCTTCACAGTTCTTCCATCTTTCTTTCATCCTTAACCGAAGTGTTTTAAAGAGAGATTAATGTCCTGACACACTTCATTGCCTACTTTTCTCCTTGTATAGTTTGCTGCAGTCAGGCCTCCCAGCAGTTTACATCTCAGAGAGTCTGGTCAGAAGCCTCTCCAAGGCCTCAAAGTTTGTTGAGCATCAAGCACACATCTTTAATTGCTTCTCTCAGTACTAGCAGGGATCTTAACTATTCAAGCACACCTTTTAACTCAGCAGTACAGTAAAAATGCATTAACCCCCATGGCCCAAATCTGTCTTTAGCCCAAAGACAGCCTAAAGTATTTACTCAAGAAGACTGGCATTAATGTTTTAATAATTCACATTTAGTTCAAAAAGGGTTAACAATTAATTTATAACCAATAAAACGACAGGCTAAAATCTTTATAAGTTTATTTTTATTTTAACTGAATGTGACAGCACTTTTTCTACTTAGAGCGATAATTAATTCCCACGTTTCAAAGTTAAGATGAAAAAATGATTTATATATATGTATATTAATTATATTAACAAATTAAAGATTTGTGATTGTGTGTGTGCATGTACTATGAAAATAATCATTCTTCTTTTTTGCATATGTATTTGTATGATACACTGATAAATACAAGATAAACATGATTGTAAATATTTTTAACAGAAGAATACCCCACATTGTGACCATTTGAATATACCTGTAAAATATTTATCTTCCTCCCCTGTCTTCTGAGTGGGATAATCCTATAACAACATTATTTTGTTTTTTGTTTTCTTTCTTCATCTAGGTTCTCAGCTTCTACCTTGATACCAGATCCTAATGACTGGTCTTTCATGCAATCATTTCAATCCACTTTTCTTCATGCGTGATTATATCAACCATCTTAATGATGATACTCATTCCCAATGTGGTGACTATTCTAACATACTCTTCAGCTTTAGCATAGTGCTTGCTGCATGGAGAGCAGGTTCTCTGTATTTGGTTGAATGAATTGAATTTACTTGTGGAGGGCTGGTGGCCCCCATGATAACATCTTTCTGGTATTCACACCTTGTGTCATCTATCCCTTCACCTTGAGGGACATGTGTGTGGGACTTATTGACTTGTTTCTGGCCAACAGAATATGGCAAGAGTGAAAGGATGTCACATTTATGATTATGTTACTTAGAATTATAATGCCTGTTTTGCTAAGAGACTCTCTTCCTTATTGACTTTGAGGAAGCAAGCAGTTGTATTGGGAATACCATTATGTCAAGGAACTAAAGGTGGCCCTCAGTCAACTGTAGGCAAGAAGCTGGGATCATCACTCTGATGGCCATGAGACACCAAATGTTGTTAACAGTCATTACTTGGAAGCACATCTGTTGCCACTGAATCTTCACATGGGACTATAAGCCTGACACCTGATTGCAGTTTTGTAAGATCCTGAAACAGAAAACCCAGCTAAGTTATGCCCTGGCTCCTACCCCACAGAAACAGTAAGATAATAAATGTGTGCTGCTTTAAGCCTCTACTAAGGGTTTACTAATATTGTTAAGTAGCAGTAGAGAGTTAATGCAACATTCAGAAGTGGACATTTACTTTGAATTGCTCCTGAAGCAAGTCTAACTCGTTAAATTGACAGGAATGGTCAGTCTCTACCACATCATCTTCTATGAAAAGACAAGGAATGGCTTGTTCTTACTCACAAGTTCAAAGCTAAACTCCACAGCAACTTACCTTAAAAATGTAAGATTTTCCACCAGCTAGCCAAACCTGCCTCTTACATACTGAGTCTCATCTCTTTATTTTTTTTCCATGTAATAGCTTGGCCTAGCCAACTTTTCCACATTTCTTTACAAACTCTCTTTGTTCATGAGAATAAATTGGAAGCATTTGTCACTTTTGAAATATTTTAAATATACTATTACTATCATTAACTTTATGATTTTTAGTACCGTGATTGCATATGTATGCATTGGGATCAAGGACTAAAAAGTTTCTAGGGCTGTTATAAATATATGATTAACATAAGGACAATGACTTCCCTTGAATTTCAATTCATCACTTGTAAAATAAGAAATAACACTATAATGTAGAGCGATTATGCTGGGATGGAAGATTTTAAGTTTACTACACAGTTTTTCCCTAGGGCAGCACATATGTTGAGATGATTCAAGTACAAGTTGAACATTACTTACCCGTAAATTTTTAATCTGCAGTGTCCCTTGTTCTTGTATACTTGCTCTTGGATCTCTTCCCAGAAAAGTAAATCCCTCCTTTAGCCAGCTAATTACAGGAAGAGGATCACCAGTAGCTTTACATTTCAGTAAAACTGTGCCATCTACTGCTAGTGTTTGGTTGGCTGGGCCTTGTAGGATTATGGGTGGAGGTCTATCTGTCAAAACTAAAGGGTAGAGATAGTTTCAGGATATTTTAATTTTTATGAAATTCACTAGGGTTGATATCTTGACATTGAAAAAAGGTTAAAGCCCCAAAGACATATATATTACTTATAACTTATTCTGCATATCCAATATCCAACATATATCTATCATCTATCTGTAATACACATATATCTAAATATTACGCTGAGGCAATACTATTGTTGGTAACTTACTCTGAGTTACCTATACTTAAGATGATATGGGACAAATTCTGATATTTTAGAAAGGCTTAGTATTATTGAAAGTCTCAATTGTATTAAAATAAAAATGACAATATGTTATGGCAGTCTTTCATAAAATTTTACTTTTTAAAATTTTAATTAAAAAAATGTTATCTCTTACTTGCATATTTAAGAAAGTCTTTGAAGTGCCATGGGGGTAGAATCAATTTTCACTTCTGCTTTTACTATAAATATGTGTGTAATACATAATTTTACCCTTCATAGCACTACTTGCATGACTACAATATTTTGATTATTGTTTAAGTATTACATATAATTCTTTATTTCTAAAATTATGATATTGTGATAACATAAGGACAATGACTTCCCTTGAATTTCAATTCATCACTTGTAAAATAAGAAATAACACTATAATGTAGAGCGATTATGCTGGGATGGAAGATTTTAAGTTTACTACACAGTTTTTCCCTAGGGCAGCACATATGTTGAGATGATTCAAGTACAAGTTGAACATTACTTACCCGTAAATTTTTAATCTGCAGTGTCCCTTGTTCTTGTATACTTGCTCTTGGATCTCTTCCCAGAAAAGTAAATCCCTCCTTTAGCCAGCTAATTACAGGAAGAGGATCACCAGTAGCTTTACATTTCAGTAAAACTGTGCCATCTACTGCTAGTGTTTGGTTGGCTGGGCCTTGTAGGATTATGGGTGGAGGTCTATCTGTCAAAACTAAAGGGTAGAGATAGTTTCAGGATATTTTAATTTTTATGAAATTCACTAGGGTTGATATCTTGACATTGAAAAAAGGTTAAAGCCCCAAAGACATATATATTACTTATAACTTATTCTGCATATCCAATATCCAACATATATCTATCATCTATCTGTAATACACATATATCTAAATATTACGCTGAGGCAATACTATTGTTGGTAACTTACTCTGAGTTACCTATACTTAAGATGATATGGGACAAATTCTGATATTTTAGAAAGGCTTAGTATTATTGAAAGTCTCAATTGTATTAAAATAAAAATGACAATATGTTATGGCAGTCTTTCATAAAATTTTACTTTTTAAAATTTTAATTAAAAAAATGTTATCTCTTACTTGCATATTTAAGAAAGTCTGTGAAGTGCCATGGGGGTAGAATCAATTTTCACTTCTGCTTTTACTATAAATATGTGTGTAATACATAATTTTACCCTTCATAGCACTACTTGCATGACTACAATATTTTGATTATTGTTTAAGTATTACATATAATTCTTTATTTCTAAAATTATGATATTGTGCTTCAGATTTTAGTAAAATAATCTAGATCATGTGATTTAACTTGCCTTTAAAAATCAAGCAAACAGAAAGAATCAAGTTAGACTATATTTATGGTATGACAAAAACAGGGTTTCCTTATATAAAATCAGTTGTTTATATATATATTAATTCCTGTATTCACTTGAGTAAATTTCCAAGAATTTCATCAGCTTTTAGTTCAAAATGTTTTTGTCAAATATTATTTGTGCCTTCAAAAGTATTTCAGGATGATTTAGGAAGTGTATCAAAATGCATGGTATTATTTAAATGGATGATGAAAATATGGAGTCAATTAGATGCAAGCTTTCATCCACAGCTCATTAGAAGAACACCTCATAATGAAACTGACATGTCCAGATCCAAGGAAGACTTTAAGAGAAAGTCCTATAAACTTCAGCATTGATTTTGATAAATTATCCATAATATGCTTATATATATATAATATATGTGTGTGTGTGTATGAAAACATATATAAATATAAAATATCCAGAGGAAGAGAAAAAACATGGTAAATGCAACTGTGAAGAGAAATAATGTCTTTTTTAAGTTATATTTTATTGTAAAATACATAATCAAAAAATTCATTTTGTTCATTGATGCTCTAATCTCCTTTGTTCACCAGCTTTTATAAATGCCAGCTTACATGATTATCTAATTCCCAATCTATATGCATCATCTCCATTACTAGAACTCATGGTTTTTGGGGAAAAGCATTAAATTAAGCAGCGCTTTTAAAGTCTGCCATGAGAAACCCAACCAATTTTAATTTAAAATAGAAGTTATGAAATAGGTCCACTGCATGTCAAGATAAGCAGACTTCCAAACAACCTAAACCGATTATATCAATATATGTATTAAAATGTATATGTGTTTACATGTATGTAAAAACCTTATTAAAAACCTAAGAAAAACAATACAATCTTGCTTGTGCATTGTTGACAAATGAAAATTTGAACTGTTCATTTCACTGATTTTCTTAATCAAATTAATTTTAGAAGATTCAAGGAATGTTAAAGTACAATATTATACCGATTCTGACATCTCTGGCAATAATTGTGGAAATAGATATTCAAACTGAAAGTTTCATGGGATTTCTTTTCTTTATGGGTCAAGGAATGGAAGACAAATTCACAAAACATTATGAAAAATTTTTATATTAAATGAGAAAAATGAATTTGCATTACCAGAGTTAGAAACTATAAAATTTTAAATCCTGCTTCTTTGTTGCAAATTAAATATATATATAATTTAGGTAACTTCTTATAATCTGTTTGCATTTTTATATCCCTGAAATTGTTAGATATAGTCAAAGGACATCTAATTAGTCTCTTTCTCTTTTACTAATCAAATGAGTAGCTCATAGTCTTATAAATAAATTTAATCAATAAAGTAATTGAAAATCTCCTGGCCAGAATGAATTTTCAGTTTCAAGAATGTTATATGTGAAAGATAACCACAGGTTTCCATGACACTAAGATCAAGGGTTAAATGAACATTTAGGGTTTCTAGTGATCTGAGAACAACTCCATGGTTTTCTAGAATTATACATAATAAATTCTCAATAAACCATTCATATAGGATCATGGTGTGACATTTATTGTCAATATAAACACATTTCTTCTCTCCAGTCCTTTTGGGATTCTATTGGCTGTACCCATATAATTTGCATTAAAATTTTCTAATTTTCTGAGATTAAAAAAAGCAGAAGTTTTCTAATTTTCTGAGATTAAAAAAAGCAGAAGGAAAGAATAAATGAACAGTGCCAATGATGTAATGAGAAGGTCTTTTAAAGAGATATTTAGAAACTCAAGTATATTGAAGCATCTTCATTCAATCAGTAAAATTATCACTCAGCAATATCTTTCATCACCATTAAAAATCTCATCTTAATTTAAAATGAACATGAACACTTGAGTAACAATATTTCCAAGAAAGGAGTCTTAAGTGCAAAATGCAGCAACAAACATGTTATAAATGCTTCACTTGCTTCTCTGAGCATGATATAGGTTTTCATTCTAAATGGAATGAAATGTATAATTTAAATTTATTATTAAATCAATTGTAAATTAAAAATTGCTAATTTATTATTCTTAACATTTATTATTAAATTGTTAATCAATCTGAAAATGCAAAACTGAATAAAAGCTGAAGTCATCAGCCAATGTGGCAAGTTAATATTCAGAGACAGAGTTATTTATAATAATAATAATAATAATAATGTGTGTGTGTGTGTGTGTGTGTGTGTGTGTATTTTGCATTGTATGTTTAGGTCTCAGAGTTAGAGCTCTTTAGTGTCAAAATCAATAATTTTGTAATTTTTTTCAATGTTTTTGCAAAAGGATCTTGACTTTGTGATTGCTTACTTAAGAAAAAAATCAATATAAGAATTAATATTAAAGCCAGTTGTAACAAAATGTTCAGAGCCATCTCAGTCAATGGATTTAAATGTATCACTCTTAATTTTGAACTCAGAAACAAAGTTAGAATAACTAACATTTTATGAGATATCATCAACTAACATAAGTTCACAAAACAAATGTTTTCCTTGTAATTGCATCAGACATACTTCCAAGTATCCACCTACTTCATGAACCATGTCAGTCAGATAGTTATGTCTTCTAATTCAGCAATTTTGTTTTCTACAAATATGGTTTGCCTTTTCCATAACCACTTCTTTATTTAAAACATTTTAGTATATTTTGTAAAAGGCTATATGTAGCTAGACTATGGTAGAGTTCTTCAGATTATGTATGGAATGTTTTATTCTTATGTACAGAATAAAACGTAAGTCTACGGCCAGAATATCTTATTTTCCAAATGTAAGTACCTGGACATTTTTGCTAATAGTAGAAAACAGAAGAACTTAAAAAAAGATGAATAACTATCTTCTTTTTATTTTAAAGAAATACAGTGGATTTAAGATCTTGTCCATATAAAGGAAGAATTTCTCTGCATTGCTGCTCTTGGACCTGACTTCTCCTTTCAGCTTTGTAGCAGTAAGAGTCTGAAGCATCAGCAGTTGCAGCCATTAATGACTCAATGTCCCTGCAGCCCAAGTTTATTCTATGTATTCCCGTTCCTGACATGGTGCCAAATCAGGCACTACCATGAACACACATTAAAAAATATTTTCTTTCTATTAATTTTAAATGACCATTTAAACATGTAAATTAGAATTGCATGAAAATGCATCCAATTTCACCAGCAGAGAAAGAAGAGAATCAGAGAGGTTGTAGACCACAAAGCTCTCTTTCTCAGAAGCCAGCATCTGTCAGAAAAAAACTCAAAAACTTCACAGATACAGGAGAGAAAGAGATAATCTTTAATTTAAGATATCAAATTGGGCTTAAATTATGCTCAGAAGTTCATGAAATATCTGTAAGTCCTACCTGTGAACTGTAACAAATAAACTCTTGGGAAAAAAAGCCAATTATGAAGAGCCCTCTGTCTTTTTCAATTCTCATTATGAATACAGGTGTTACAGTTAAGATCTGTAGTACTCATGTGCAAAGAAAATATAACAATTTTAGCATCCATCACTAGTTTGGAAGGCATTGAATTAACTTAACTTAGTGAATGTACAATTAAAAAAACCATAGCACGTTATAATGTGGTTAGCTAACTAAAAAACTCTTTTCCACTGATAATATAAAGACAGTATCTCTTCCTCTTCTAGTAAAATAAAATTCTGAATATCCCTAGAAGCAATCATCTCAGTGTATGATGAAATAAAAATATACAGATGACATTTTTCTACCCTGGGAATGTGATGTCATTTATTTAAACTAATGCATCACTCTATTTTTAAAAATGAAGTAGACTGGCTTTCATAGTCTTCTTTGGAAAAGTAAATGGTATTAAATCAGAGGGAATTAGAATCTTCAGATTATGTATGGAATGTTTTATTCTTATGTACAGAATAAAACGTAAGTCTACGGCCAGAATATCTTATTTTCCAAATGTAAGTACCTGGACATTTTTGCTAATAGTAGAAAACAGAAGAACTTAAAAAAAGATGAATAACTATCTTCTTTTTATTTTAAAGAAATACAGTGGATTTAAGATCTTGTCCATATAAAGGAAGAATTTCTCTGCATTGCTGCTCTTGGACCTGACTTCTCCTTTCAGCTTTGTAGCAGTAAAAGTCTGAAGCATCAGCAGTTGCAGCCATTAATGACTCAATGTCCCTGCAGCCCAAGTTTATTCTATGTATTCCCGTTCCTGACATGGTGCCAAATCAGGCACTACCATGAACACACATTAAAAAATATTTTCTTTCTATTAATTTTAAATGACCATTTAAACATGTAAATTAGAATTGCATGAAAATGCATCCAATTTCACCAGCAGAGAAAGAAGAGAATCAGAGAGGTTGTAGACCACAAAGCTCTCTTTCTCAGAAGCCAGCATCTGTCAGAAAAAAACTCAAAAACTTCACAGATACAGGAGAGAAAGAGATAATCTTTAATTTAAGATATCAAATTGGGCTTAAATTATGCTCAGAAGTTCATGAAATATCTGTAAGTCCTACCTGTGAACTGTAACAAATAAACTCTTGGGAAAAAAAGCCAATTATGAAGAGCCCTCTGTCTTTTTCAATTCTCATTATGAATACAGGTGTTACAGTTAAGATCTGTAGTACTCATGTGCAAAGAAAATATAACAATTTTAGCATCCATCACTAGTTTGGAAGGCATTGAATTAACTTAACTTAGTGAATGTACAATTAAAAAAACCATAGCACGTTATAATGTGGTTAGCTAACTAAAAAACTCTTTTCCACTGATAATATAAAGACAGTATCTCTTCCTCTTCTAGTAAAATAAAATTCTGAATATCCCTAGAAGCAATCATCTCAGTGTATGATGAAATAAAAATATACAGATGACATTTTTCTACCCTGGGAATGTGATGTCATTTATTTAAACTAATGCATCACTCTATTTTTAAAAATGAAGTAGACTGGCTTTCATAGTCTTCTTTGGAAAAGTAAATGGTATTAAATCAGAGGGAATTAGAAACTAGCAAAAATGTATTTTACCTAGATTCAATCTTAGAAGATAAGCATTCATTTAAATGAATAAACTAACAAATTGGAAAATTTCATGTGGATCTTGAAATAAGAATCGTTATTTTCATAAGGCATATTTAATAATAATATCACACCATCAGTAACTTCCAGCTGAGCCTTTGCCAAAATGCTTCCTGCCACAGTTAGGGCCTGGCAGATATAGTAACCCGCATCCGAGCGCTGAATGTTGGTAATCGTGAGGTCTCCAGTTGGTGACACAGAGCATCTACTATTCGGCTGCTGAGGTTGGTTTGGAAAAAGCAAGTTCTGCAGAAGAAAACCAATTTCATCAGTATCCTTTCCGACTCCAAAGGAAAATTATATTAACAACAGCTATTACAATTATGATAATATAGTTGAAGAAGGAAAATACTTCCATCTTAAAAACACGGTGTGAAATGATTAAATGCTATACAGTGAGTTTCACTGGGAAATTTCTTCCATATCATGAGGAAAAAATATGCTCTTAAGAAGTCAGCATGATCTTGTTGAAGGAATAATTATCTAAAAACTCTATGTGAATCTTCACCATTTACTTTCTCCCTGAATTTCTATTAGTTACTTAATATCTTTGAAACATGGTTTCCTCATCTGTAAAATGGTTCTAGTAACACCTGACTCAACTTTAATGACCTTGTGAGAATTTGGAATGTGACACGAACATAGTTAATGAACTATGTATGTGTTCTATAAACTGCATATTATTAAAGAATGCAAAATGTACTTTCTGTTAATCATTTGAATACCTGATGTTATTAACTGAATTTCTCCTAAAGGTGTTCAAAACTGTGGGACAGACTGACACAGAAACAGCCAAATCTTCTTCTGTTGGAAGGTTTATGCAGATTGCAACAGCTTTGAAAGGAACTATGTATAAATATTACTATCTAAGCAAGATTAAGCCAATCACTAAAAAGAAAAATGAGGACAGGGAATAGTTTTGAATTGTGCATGTGATATTAAAGAATTCATAATATAATTTTTTAAAGAAAAATCATTTAGTTTAGTTCATCTCATATTAAATAGTTTAGTATATCTCATATTAAATACAAACAGTCTAATCACAAAACTTTGAAAGTTGTTATATGAAAGCAGTAATATTAACTTGGGTGACCTATGTTGCTTTACTGTTGTTTAATTAAGAAAAACATTTGGGTATAATAAATCATATTGAGATACTTTTCCACACTGGATTATAAATAAGGACATATCAATTTTTATGTTGTATTTGCTTACAAAAAAAGAACATTATAACCCTCTGGGATCTGTTTTTTGATATAGTAATTAATTTTCCAGGTTTGTAATTAAACAGTTTCAATACGTTACAATCAGGGGGTAATAACATTCAATTAAAGGCATAAGACACATTTTCACCTTAAAATGTTTTTACCCTTGAAGTAATACCAATGGAAGAGGATAAAATAGGGTATTAACACTTTTCAATTACGCTAAATGACTTTAATCCTGCGAATGATGTCCTACTTTAATTAGAAGCTCTTCTCTTTATTGCTACATGATGGATGTCCACTTTATTAGATTCAAGTGTGACACTATAAGCCCACTTTACATAAACATTACCATGTTATTAAATCCTTTCTAAAAGAACTGATGTTTGCTAGCATGTCAGGAATATAATTTCAAAATGCTGTTGCCCTCTTATAAAATTTGTACTACCAAATAAGGGGAGACATTTTCATGTATAGGAGACAATTTGAGAACAAGCTAATTCTCCTGTGGAATCTAAATATATTACTGAAATAAACCATCTAAAGAGAAGGGTCTAAATTTTAAAGCCACTTGAAAATGATATAGTAACTCAAAGTGTGCACTTTCCTGCAATTAGCCATTAGAATACTAATTTACATAGCACTAATACATCAGATGGGCTTAATTCTCTCTGGGATCTCTTTCTCTACAATGTAGTATCAGTCCACCTTCTAAATGATTCGTTGACATGGAAAATGGCATATGATTGAGGTTAACCCATCATCTTTATCCCCTGCTTGTATGACATAGGCAAAAAGAAAGTGGATTACAAGCAAACCCCAGGAATTCTACAGAGCTCTTGCCTTGAAGTGCCTGAGTATCCTATTAGTGCTAATTGGCATTATCAGCACATATTGAAGAATATGGACCATTAAGTCCAGGCTCTGAGCTCTTTACTGATGGATAGTCATAGATCACTGTAAAAATTGGATACTGGAGACAGTAAGATAAATTTATTTTTCTTTATATTCCAATTCATGATTTGAAAATTAACAATTTGTTCAAGCTCTATTTTGTTCTTATGCATAATCTCTCTCTCTCTTTTTCTAATGCAAGAGAGACAAGTGGAGGAAAGACAACCCGACCCTCAGATTACAATAAAATCAAATACATAACTGGAAATATTTTTTGAGAGATTAATATCACTGGAATTACATGCCATGCTGTCAAGTAATAGAAAAAGAAATACTTTAATGCTATTTCTTAATTACTCTTTAAAATAATCATTAAAACACAATGTAGTATATTTAAAAATCATGATTATTGGGCCTCAGGACCAATACACATTTTATGTAATAACTTTCAACAGCCCAAAGCTCTTTTAGGGCATGCCATTTACACACGATAGAGCTGTATCTCTACAAGACATATTATAATGCAGTTTGATTCAATATGTGCATTTAACATAAAAATTCACAATACTCAAAGTGCTTTACAACCTTGTATTTATATCATTTATAAATAAATAAATAAAATATTTGCATTATTATATTTATTATTAATAGCTTGGGAGAGTAACGTTCATGGACCCTGCAGCCCCTGGAGTGGGTAGAAGGAGAGAGCTGAAGACAAGAGGAAGAATCTTGCAGCGCCCCCAGGGCTCCTAGGGTTCACCCTCCTCAGTCTTCTCAGGTGCCCCTGTGGTCACAGAGAGGGCCTGACAGGAGAGATCAGAGCACAGAGGTGACCACAGTGGTACTGAGCCTCTCCTTTGTGCTGGGCCCTAGAGGCCAGGCAGACCTCAGGCCCTGGCAGCCTTGGCCTGAGCAGATGTATTAACTTACCACTTCAGCCAGAACACCGGGGGAGGCAGGTGCATTTTACATTTTCCCCATTTCAAATAAGATGTTAGAAACATCTTGTTTGATCTTCATTATGTGTAAAGCACTTTTACATATAAATTAGCCAATCATATAACTTTCCTATCTTCTTGAAGCAAAATGTATTATTTCCATATTTTAGATTAAGAAAATGAGTTTCAGTAAAGTCAAATAGTGCTATAAAAATTATATGCTCATAAGGAGGGAAAATGGCTTTTGAATTCTTTCCTCTTTCAGGGTCTGTGCACACATGTGTGCATGAGCACATGTGGTATAACTATGTCATGTTGCTCTGTGCTCCCTTTAAAGTTTGTGGTGTTTTCAACCAAAAGCAATTTTTAAGAGATGAATCAAGGAACTCTATGAATAGATAACTATTTTATAGTCACTATTTCATAAAAAATCTATTTAATAAAAAAAAAGGATGGGGATCAGGCCTGCAACAATTCTAAAGTGGGATAAGGCAGTGGCTGGCACTTTACTTTATCTTCACTGCCTTTACATCTCAAAAATCACAGGGGAACTGAATCATGCAAGGAGCGTTGAGGAAAGGAAGAAAGACAATTTCCCCATCTGTACTGAATCCTTAACACTGCTAGTTTGGGTGGTACAGGAATAAGTAGGAACCCACAACAATCACAGACGATGGCTCAGGGGAACTTCCTGATGCCTCTCCACCCAGATAATCATACATGAGTTCTGATCAATAGGTTCTCTCAATATAGTCTAAAACATTTCCCATCCCTGCAGAGTTTTTATATTTTCCAATGCTCTTAATCATGGTTCTCATTATTCCCCATGAAATTCTTCCAGAACTCGGACTAACAGAGAATGCGGAGGAAGAGCACCAGTAAGTCTCGGCCCGTGAACTGTGTGCCTCCTTGGAGACGGTTTTGCAGAGTCGAGAACAGAAATAACTCTAGGACCCTCAGGAATGAACAGATAGATTAAAAATCATGTTTGATCAACTGGAACCCTCCATTCCTACCCGACTACACATAGCCAAATGAACACATAGGCTGAAAAACACAGTATCTGATCTGGTTGAAGTCGTAAAGTCCATTCATTGCTTCAGAACCAATTTGTTAAGTGCTTGTTCAGTTTGGACCAAGCCCTAAACAAGAAAATATTGAGTCCAGTTGACTTGTTGCAGGGTTTCTGAGAGTCAGGTTGCCCAGAGAGGGCCTGACAGGAGAAATCAGGGCATAGCCAAGATAAACGTTGATTCCGTCTAGTACATAATATATTATTTCCTGTCTAACCCCACTGTGAAAGAATCCAGAAATGTTGGTGGGAAAAGAAAAATAACCTCTCCTAGTTTTAAATGGAAGCATGCCTAAGTTAATGACAAAGGTATTTATACTATTTATCTGTGAAAGGGGACTGAAATTGGTTTCTTGGCCTTTTGATAACAGAAATACTTTTTGACTATTTTACATGTGCTGAACATTCTAAAGGCCTTCTATATATATAAACTCATTTAATCATCCAAATGTTGCTCAGTCCAATAAACTAAAATTACCTTTCTCATCAGAGGTTTTAATTAGCTGCAGAAGTTTTTATTAGACTTTTTAAGAATTTGAAGTATAATTGACATACTCTCCTATTAGTTTCAGGTGTAGACTCTTTAAGATCATTTAGTTACATTGCATTGTGTTTATTCTATGTAAGATAGAGAACTGTCAATAATTAACACTAGAATATAAAGAATGTTCTATTAGGATGTTTGATTTCCACAAATTTTTTAATTAACTGACTTTAAAAAAAAATCAAATAAATTCATCACTGATAGCAAGACAGACAAGGCAAGCTTTGAGATGCACCAGAAACAAGGAGTTCAGAGATTTCAGAGAAGCAGTCAGGGCTCATACTCACTTGGCTGCCTTCTTTTTGCCAAAATACAGCTGGCTGCGGGTTTCCTTTAGTTTCACAGGGAAATGTCACTGTACGACCTTGAGCAACAATCTGATCTCTTGGCCTAACCACAAACTGTGGAGGAGCTATAATTAAAAAGGAAAGAAAGTGTGTAAAAATCAACCATTGGCAAGAAAAAGATATCAAAGGGAAAGTCTTGTCAGTGCCAGACAGAGATTACAGTTTTTTATTTACCTTTTAGCATTTATCAAAACACATTTAGGAAAGGGAAAGAGCACTCTATCAAACATGAGGAAAGAAAAGTAAGGAAGCATATTTCAAACACTACACATTGTAATCCTATAGCACACATATTTACATAGGATAATAGACTTTTAATGATACCCTAATTTTTTAGGACAAACATGGTTTCCCAATTTGCTTTTGTGTTTTGGATAAAGATGGAAAAGAATCAGTCCATTACATAAATATCTCCTTCCTCCGCAGTCAATCTATTGGCAAACATTGACTGCTCTTGTAAGATTTGTAGGCTTAAACTATGATCCCTACCCTCAAAGTGCTTCTATTCTAGAATTGAAGAGCTGAAGGGTTTAAAACATTAAAGAAATGAAGAGCTAGGAATTACATAAAAGATAACTAACAATATAAAGACATGTATACAAGTGGTTGATTCTATTTCACTCATTTCACTTAGATAAATAAGCATTAGTTAGACAAGTGCCATATTCCCCTGCTAGGCACTAAAGATACAGAGATAAAAAGCATCCTGCAGCCATCAAGGAATTCGCAGTCTAATGGAAAATACAAAACGTAACAATAATGACAACAATGCCAGAACTAAGACTACAGTTATCCAAGACTGGTAAGGATGGAGGTGGAGGCACTCTCAGACTACAATGGAGAGACACTTACAGTACAGGACATATCATACGTGTGATAAGACTTCACAGGAGAGGAATCCCTTTGAGTGACAGGAGCTGTGAAATGCTCTATGCAGGAAGTAACATTATGGGGGCTGTGAGGCAAGAGTGCTGTTTAGTTAAGAGGAGAAATGAACACATTCTAAACAAGGAGCTACTGAGCAAAGCACAAGGAGCAAGAACACACCTACTTTACAGTGTGTGGTCTGGTAGGAATGGAGGGTTCCAATTGAGCAAACATGATTTTTAATCTAATCTACAAAATATGGATTTGGGACTCAGTCATAAAAAGTTCTGAGATGCCAAACTCAGGATTTTATTCTGAAGCTTTTTAAACTGAGGAGTAGCAGATGCAAAGCAAAATTTTTGGAAGCTTTAACTCTTTAATGTAGTACAGATTGTGAGGGGAGCAGATTAGTTAGTAAAGTAGGGTGTCAGACTGGAAGATTAATAAAATTGTGTAAGTGAAGATAATGAGATCAATTAGGATAGTTAACTTCAATAGAAAAGAAAAATAAAGGGGTGAGGGCAAAAATTCTAAGAATATTCAGATTTAAATTGGAGCCAATTATAAAGAAAAAGAAGAAAGAGAAGACAGTAGACAGTAAAACTGGAAGTTTTCAGAACCAAAACCCATTCCTGTTGAAGAGAAAACAGCATATTTATTGCATGACTTTTCTGATTATATGTTTTCACTTTAACTAATTACTTATACTAGAAAACTTAAGACCAAGAAAAAAACTTAAAAATCAACTCTGATTTTTAGAACCTGGTGTACATAGCAACAACCCTAAAATTTGAACTTCAAAGAGTTCTAATAAATGGCATTCAGTACCCAGAGTTCTTTCAGTCTCTCAGGATTACCTAATGCAGGCCCAATAATGGAGTAATGTAGGGGAGCCTCAAACATATAAGTTACTCATTCTTACAAGAATAGCAGCAGCATTTAAAAAAAATATTCACTGTGATTCATAGTGACTTATTTTTTGGTGTTCTATTATACTGCCTCATCACTCAACTCATTCAACACATACTCCAGAGACAGAAGGGATAAATCTATGAAGTTTTCTTCTATAACTACAGATAACAGAAGACTAAGTCTAACAGGATGGAGAACCCAGATTTATGGATCTATTTGAACAGCATGTGATTTATGTTGCCTTGTATTTTCAGAAGATAACTCGCTTCTTACAACCTTATTTCTACACCATTCCACTGAATCAGCAGATACACTGATTTTTGTTCCATGCTTTCTAATAGTAATGATAGCTTAAATCAATGCTACAAAATTACTTCAGGAACAACTCTTAAAGCCCCAGAGTGTCCACTTCTCAGAAGAGATATGAAACCACCACATTATTTATATCAAAAAAGGATTAAGATTGGTCTTTATCATCTGTAATATCCAAGAAAAAATATATTAAATATAATTTAGGGACCAATGTATAGTTCTTTACTTCAACTATGAAAAAGTTAGTGCCAATATGGTCATTAACTAAGCCAGAAACATCGAGTGACTTAGCTTGTAACTCATCACAAATAAAAATTCAATTTAGTCAAAATAAGTTAACTGTATGGTAAAAGTCACATATTCAGGTTATTAGTTCATTTGTTTTGCTTTGGACCAAGAAGAATTTAAATTGTCTCACATAACTATCTGATAAAAACTTATAGTACTATAAAGTCCTTCTTTATATCATTTTGAAAATGTAATAACTGAAAATACACATGATTAAAATAAAGTAAAACATGAAAACATTTTATAGTTTAAAGCATATTATGCTTTGAATCTATCTACCTATCTGTTCCAGTAAAATAACCATCTGTATTTAAGTATAAATACAGACTTCATTGACTTTGACTTTTCTAGCTTTAAAAAAACATTGTGGTAGATGAATAATTTAGCAAAATGAATTTGGAATCAAGATTCTACAATTTTAACAAAGCTGATAAAAAATAGCCCCAAAATAAGGAGTGGCAGATGACCACATCTATCTATCCATTTTACTGAAAAGATACAATTCATCCATTTATTCATTCAAAATGTATTGACTAAATTATGAAACACTCTGCTTGGTACAGGGGGTGCAAAACCAAATAAAAAATAAGTCGTGGCCTGTGTCAGTGAACTCCAAGTAAATAAATAAATAAAATAGCACAGCATTATTTGTATAAAAATAGAAAAATGCACGGGCCATTTGGGAAGAAAGTGTGGGAGAGCAGGAAACTAGACTAGGCAGTAAGCAAAGAAGAGGAAAGATGCCAGAAGATGGTTACCCTTGAGTTACGTTTTGAAGCGCAAGCAACTGAAGAGAATAAATGTTCCTTGGGACCGAGAAGAGCAGATAGAAGGCAGACCTGTTTGGGGAGTGTAAATAATTTTAAAAAACAAAATTAGGATGCAGAAGTGATATAGGTGGGGCCAGATAATTTATGCTGAAAGAGCTTAAATTTTGCCCTGGAAGCTATGGAGATCTGTTCAAAGATGTTTATGTAAGAAAAATAAACTAAGATTTGTGTTTTAGAAAGAATGCTCTTTTTAAAATAGAAATGGCAGATTGAGGCTGGAAAATCTTGGCAAGTTGGGGCAGAAAGTCCAGCATAGCGCATAAAGAGAACATTTCATAACAAGTCTTAAAGGACAGAGAAATTCTGCAATATCACAATGTAATATTTACCACTGATGATACAATCTAAAAAGACCAGGAAATCAGAACTGCTTGAGTTTTATCCAATACTGAATTTTTTAAAAGACCCCTAACAAAATATTATCAGAATTTGTGTTCTTCATGCTAAGAAATATTCTTTTATTGTGATGTTTATTTATACTGTACTTTTATTTCAAATTATTATAAACATACTGTATTTCTGATGCACCACATAGTTACTTGTCACTGGAACTTAGGCCACACCGATCTCCTCAGAACTGGAATTACCTTATCATTTTTAAAATTAGAAAAACAACAACTAAAAACATAACAGCATTTAACAAGTCAAAATATTTTAAGAGCATTCAAGCCTCTGAAAATGTACATCCTCCCCTATGGTCAACTAAAGTTGGACCACCAAAATGGATGACATCAATCACACTTTTACTTCCGTACGCTCTTTCTCTGCTCAAGATCTATGTTGCAATCTTCTGAGAAGAGATAGCAGCTGAAGGAATTTATTTTTGAGGTTTTAAAATGAAAAAAGTGCCTCAACAATTCCTCTGCTAATACTTCATAGTTTCAGTATTTCTGCCAGGTGGCAGTGAAAATTGTTCGGAAAGACAGTACTTTGCTGATGGCACCGAGGGGAGGGAGAAGACAGAGAGGTGGCATTTTATCAGCACAGCACAGTAGCACAATGTGTAATATACATAAAACGGGTTTTCTATTATGGCTCTCATTAAATAAAAATGAAGAAAAATCAGATCTTCAAGATGACAATTCAAAACACACATTTAAACCTAATAAGAATTAAAGAAGTTTGAGTTATAAACTCCGGAAGAATATACTAGTTATAGAAATGGCAATTCTCTTATGTATTTCTAAGACAGAAGACTATAAAATATATATTTATATCCTCTCTAAAACCCAAAAGCATTAGACAAATCTTATGTAACTATGATGTAATAACCTAGTGGCTTAATCTGTTAAGTGATTATACCTTTTTGCTGCAGCTACAACAAGAAATTAGATGAAGAAAACAGTGGCACAATTCAGAGTTCTATTGACACTTACGAGTTAAAAACAATAGCTCTATGAAAAAAGTGTGCCGTGTAATTTCCAGGGAAGTGGACCCAAATATAAAAAGGTCAATTGAGATTAGAGGTCTGGTAGTGTTCACATGAAACTGTGTTTTTGAGAATTTAAATACAAGGCACAGTAAAGTGGATTTGATTTTTGCCAGATTATGCTTTGATACTGCATTCAGCTCAAGCTGGCTTCAATCAAAGTCAAGCTACAGCTCTGTTATGCTAATTCCCACTGGTGAGAATGAGTGGGTGATACAGAAATCAGATGGCTGAACAGCAGTAGGAGGCATAGGCCATGCACAAAGTGGGCTTGGAGATGTGGGCATGGGGGACCCTAAAGGTTAATCACATCATGTTCAGAGTTGTTTTTACAGGTAAATATGACTTTCTAGGGCAGGCATGAACATGGAGATAGTCATGCAGCAACTGCATACATTAATATGTGACAGGACAGCTACAAGCACAC